AGAAACAGGCTCTGTGTTTTGGGTGTGCCTTATATGCATCCACAGGTGTGTCACCAATTTACTCCCATGGACTCTACTAACCTATCAGAAGCTCAGAATGGAATCGTCTGGAGTTATCTTATTAATTAACAATAAACTTAGTGTATATGTACTCCTAAATTTGATGAAAGTGATAAAAAAGAGACAGCTCTCTCTCTCTTTATTCTGACATTTAACTAATTCAAAAGATCTTTCAATATTTATTTATCTAAAACAAACAGGTTTACTCTAAATTGATGTTTAACAGAAAAAAAGTTTTTATGTTTTTTCCCTAAAGTGTATGTAAATATCTGGTTTCAACTGTGAATATACTGCTGTTTATTGAAATTCCTCTTGTTTTGCATAGAAAAATACTGAACAACATACAAAGCATAATATTGTGGTGGACCACTAGAGGGCTCCACTCACACCCAGTGTTACCTCGGACAGGGGGCCCCAGTTTGTTTCTGAGCTTTGGTCTGCTATGGCTGACGGCCTGGGGGTCAAGGTCCAGCATACCACCCGCAAGCTAACGGGATGCGCGAGCGGTTTCACCGGTCACTTAAGGTCACTCCGGGCTTCCTTAACAGATGGCGACTGGGTTGACCGTCTTCTGTGGGTTTTGGTGGAATTGCGGTTAAAGAAGACCTCAGGGTTTCCCCAGCTGAACTGGTCCTCGGCCAACCCCTCCGGGTCCCAAGGGAATTCTTACCTGAGAGCCCCCCCCGTGTTTCGATACCAGGCACGATGCCCATAGGACTCCGCTGCGTCCACCATATGATGGGTTGCCCTCTGTCAGTTCCCCACCCCCCCGGTTCAGCCGTTCCGGCCGTTTGCTTAAGCCCCGGGTCCTGGACTAGTTCTGCTGGGTGTTCGGTGGGGGCATGTATGGTGGACCACTAGAGGGCTCTACTCACACCCAGTATTAACGAAGTGTGTTCCTGTGTTTTGTGGCGCAATATGTGCAGTTGATGTTGGAGAGGAACAAAGAAGGAGTGGGAACTGAGAGCTCTGTGTCGTTGATGCTTACCTCCACAATATATAAAATAACATCTACCTGAGATTTTTCTTTGAAAGAAGCCCCTTATTGTTGTGTTCATCAGTACATAACTGAAACCAATTTAAAGTGCTTTATTCAGCCGCGGAGGGTAACAACTGGAAATATGAAATAAAAACACATGTAAGCTAAGACTCTCTAAAAAAGACAGCATTGTTGTTGTTCGGCTTTTCATTTTGCCATTTGTTGATTCACTCGAAGAGCAAGTAACGTAATATGGGCCAAGTGATCCGTTTGATATAAATCTTTTGTGATACACCGTCATATTTACATTATTTGTACAGTACGAATAATTTGCTTTGGTACCTGGTCAAAGCTCTCCTCTGTCTGCAGCCAAAGGCTGTCCAAATTCATAGGCTGTGTTCCAATTAACGCTTGTCGTGTCCAAATTCATGGGCTGCATCCTCCTGAGGCCGCATTTGTAGACCGATTACGTCACAGCGACGCGCCGAAGGCTGTCCAAATTTGTAGACTCCTCCGAATGCAGCCGACAAATGCGTCCTCCTTTTCCCCGAATTTGAAGGACGTGTGTGTCCTGGGGGACCAATATTGTTTATATTGGTCCCCCAGGTGTTGAACGAATATATAAGTCACTTAGACAACCTAAAAATGTTATTGTTTGTCTTTTTTCAGTGTTTTATTTGTTCGTGAGTAAACCGGTTTGGCTGAGATTAAAGTTATTAGATTAAATTAAATAAAATAAAACTTTATTAATCCCCCGGGTGGATTCCTCCTTGGTTTTTTCACCGCTGAATAAACGTCAAACAGAAAACTGATTAAACAGAAATGTGAGACGGTTGAGAATTTACGCCAGTGTCCTGTTATATTTAAGATAGCAACCCAGTCAACACACATATGTGGGGCCCAAATAGGGAGCAGCAGGGCTAATATTTGGGGCCCACTTGGGAAACCCAACTGGGGTCCAGCTAATTTTGTCCTCAGTTTCCATGGTGGCCCCAAATGTGTTTTCCTAGATGGGTTTATGCTGGGTCCCAGATAAGCCCCAAATCAGGCCCAGTCAAAAAAAATATGTGGGGCCCAGATGGGTAGAAGCAGATCTGATATTTGGGGCCCACTTGGGTTACCCACCTAGGACCCAGCTAATTTTGTCCTCAGTTTCCATGGTGGCCCCAAATGTGTTTGCCCAGATGGATTATTGATGGGACCCGGATGGGCCCCAAATCAGGCCCAGCCAACAAATGAGTATGGGGCCCAGATGGGTAGAAGCGGGTCTGATGGTTGGGGCCCACTTGGGTTACCCACCTGGCACCCAGCTACTTTTGTCCTCAGTTTCCATGATGGCCCCAAATGTGTTTTCCCAGATGGGTTAATGATGGGTCCCAAATCAGCCCCAGACAATAAATGAGTATGGGGCCCAGATGGATAGAAGCAGGTCTGATACTTGGGGCCCACTTGGGTTACCAACCTGAGACCCAGCTATTTTTGTCGTCAGTTTCCATGGTGGCCCCAAGTGTGTTTGCCCAGATGGAATTTTGGATAATGTAAGTAAGCTATAATTTAAATCACCTGTACAACAAAGCCAGTTTATCTTTTTTATTAATACTGATTACTATGAAATTTTAAAACAGTATGCTTTTTTATATAATACATTTTTTGTTTGGAGAACAAGTTGACAAAAATGTCCACAGTATACACAAAACAATAACAAATAAATGTTATACAGTTTAAAGGAAAAACAAATGCAGCAAACCACAGCTTCTCACTCATTCACCAATCCATTGGTCCTGAAAGAAATAAAAAAAAAATAAAAAATTAGTGCATTTTCACAAACAAAATCAGATTTGCGATAGTACTGAAGTTGTTTTGGAGGTTGTGCTGTTCAAGTTGTTTGACCTCCTACATTGAACTCTTTGAAGACCATGAGTATTCATGGAAACAGAAAAGCTATTTACAAAATGATTTACCAAGTAGGCACTCAAAAATTAAATTAATGTGAAACATTTTACCTTAAAACATTTAAGACAAATGTTTAAAAGATGTCTACATAGTTACAATGATAACTGGTGTTGTGGGCTGTCTCAGTGATTGGCACAGAGCTTAGAACAGGCAAGTGGTTAACCAGTTTTTTGCATGGTACAGCACCTCATAATGAACACAAAACAAAATAGTAAAATGTAACAAGGGCTACATCTACCAAGGAGAAAACAGATTCCACTTCTTGAGGTGTGTGCCAGGCGGGCGCCAATAATTTTCATGTAGGACTGCCACGATTTGTCGACTAGTCACGATTACGTCGACTATCAAAATCGTCGACGACTGATTTAATAGTCGACGCGTCGTTTGAAGCTTTGTAAGATCACAAAAGACGCAGGAATAAGTGGCAGGATTTAAGAGTGTAATAACGGACTGAAACAGAAGATGGCAGCATTGCATGTACAAGGATGCCAGCTACCGTTAAACCCCGAAGAAGAAGAAGAAGCAGCTGTGTCCCAGAATTCATAGCGCAGCCCAGCGCAGTTTCCAACAATGGCGGCAGCTAGTTAGTTTTAATGTTACTCTTATTATTCTTTCTGGGTCACAAAATAAACGTTTAACATATTCTCAGGCGAGAATGTAGCTGTGTAAACCTCAAATATCTGCTCAGTTTATCAGGACACCACATATTTTCAAAAGCGCTCCGACGTTTTCGGAGACATCTGTTACCCACTAGCTCGTTAGCGAGCCGGGGGCTAGGCTCACTAGCGCCGTGAGAACACCGGACTCCCCGCAAATCGTTTTCAAACCCACCGCTGTCTTTCGCTACTCAGGTTAAATATATATGAGTCACTTAGATAACTTAAAATGTTATTGTTTGGCTTTTTTTTTTAGTATTTTATTTGTTCCTGAGTAAATCAGTTTGTCTGAGATTAAAGTTATAGTTTTTACACAGCTGAATAAACGTCAAGCAGACAACTGATTATCAGAAGTGTGAGATGCTCCAGAATATACTCCGGTGTCCTGTTATATTTTAGATAGCAAGGAGTTTATTAAACTTCACCGAAACAATCTGCAAATTTCATTAAAATTTAATAAACTATCATCTTGTCTTTATTTTTAGTTAGCACAGACCTTAAACACTTAAAGCTGTAAGCTAATGATAGTTATATAAGAGCAGATGCTGCTGGTGCAATAAGCTGTTGTTTTACGTCCAATGGATGATGATCTGATTAGTCGAATAATCGCAAAAATAATCGGTGACTAGTCGACTATCAAAATAATCGTTTGTGGCAGCCCTATTTTCATGTAAATCAAAAATAGGGCCATCAGATAAATCAGTGTGTTACTAATTACACTGGAAAAAATAGAGGCTGGCTCTGGAGTTCCTGGAGCTTATTCACATTCTGTGAGCAACCAAAAAACTGTTTAGTGAGAGACTTCTTCAAGTATGCTACAAGCCAGAAAGAAACGTGGTCATTCCTGCCAGCAGCCACCAACCTCCAGAACAACATGAGCTGATGGTTTCATCTCCACAATTTGTACAGTCTATCTAAACCACGTGTCAAAGTCAAGGCCTGCGGGCCACATCCGGCCCGGCATACATTTATATCCGGCCCGCAAGATCATTTTATATAGATGTACTATTATTGTTATGCATGGCCCGGCGATATGAGGCGCTAATAATATACAAACTACAGATCCCATAATGCACCGCTGAAGCCTCCTTGCTGACCGCTAGGCTAACTGGGAACATTCCCGCGTCAATCAAGTCAAACTTCTGTTATTGCGAAGCTAGCCGCTCACAATGGTGGAGAGAAAAGTTGTTTCTGAATGACTGCAGCTGTAGTGAGCATCCGTTATTCAAACATCAACAAAATATCTTACAACTAATGAACTTACCATATAGCACTTCAAAAACTTTAATCCCTCGAAATTCCCGCTTTGCATGGCACCCAACGAAGTTATATTGCCTGGAAAGAGCATTGTCCATAATGAAGGCCATCATTCTTCTTGTGGCTTCATCAACAGTGCTCCCTCTGATCTCTGCCACAACAGCAACCTTAGGACACGCAAGGACAATAATTTTACTGACAGTAGTACCATCAGTCACACCTAAAAGAAAGCAAGCACAGCTACACAGTAATTAGGCTCTATAATATTGATGCTAATTGACTGAGAAAGAGCTAGGTGTCAAAGTCAAACACTGTCTGATGTGAATGCAAAGAGCTAAATGATTCACCAAAAGTAATTTCTTAAGTTTTGGGTTTGGCATGGCACAACTTATAACTAGGTAATGTTTGGAGAAGTTATTTTATTAACAAAAATAGCAACTTTTGTTCAGCTCTCCTTCCACTCCTTCATTGCACTGACCATGTTCGAACAAACAGCAACTTTCCTTGATCATAACTGCTAGCATGAAACACAGACTGATTGAGGCATTAATCATTGAATATTGTTATTACATCATTATTATTTACCACTTCTTTTAGGAAGACAGGGTCTGCCAGTTTTTGCTCCAGTGCTGCCACATCTGCTACTGTCCGGATGGGAAATACAGCACCCTCGGGTAATACTGCAGCAACTGGTCCATCACGTTGTGTAAGGAGAGACTGTAGCATTCGACTGTGGACCCTCTGAGTGTCCTTAATGTCTTCCAGGAGGGTTAGAACACGTACAAACATGCTCGTATTGGTGGCTTGTAGAAGTTGTCTTGGAACTGGTTGTGAAACCACAGGTGAAGGAGTTGAGGGTTGTAGCGGCTGAACAAATGGATGAGTGATGTTCAGGAAGTGAGTTTCACTTGAATGTCTATTCTCCATTGCTGATGGTGGTGAGGTCTCTGGCTGTTCCGCAGTGTTGTCCCAATCCTCATCAGAGCTCGACGGGATCACTGGCCTTAAAACAAACAAACAAAAAAAATACAACAAACATACACACACAAATAAATAATAATCCAAACACATAATTTAGGGTACTGGTTAGTCCTACAAACGAAAAACATTAATGTATATAATGGCATCAAAAAAAAGTCTAAAACAGATTTTTAAAAGTCAACAAATTATAAAGCGCTATTTTGAAATCATATCTGAACCTGATGAGCAGCAAGGCAAGTGTCTGCTAAAGAAACTGTCAGGTTTTTTTTTTCTTATAATCTCAATAAATTTTTGCTTTTAAGGTGTTTTCAACACAATTACCTCCTTTTCCGCTTCCCTTTCCCAATCTGCTTCCAGAATCCAAATAAATTCCACCAAGGAAGGTTTCTAATTTTTGCTTTTAAGGTGTTTTCAACACAATTACCTCCTTTTCCGCTTCCCTTTCCCAATCTGCTTCCAGAATCCAAATAAATTCCACCAAGGAAGGTTTCTAATGGGAAGCAGGAAATGCTGTCTAAAGGGCCAAACTTCTGTACATCTTGAGCTAGGTGTATTAAAGAATGTATATTATAACCAACAAAGTCAAGACCATAAATCAAAGCAAAATCTTTCACAAACTGCTTCAAAACATCCTCTGCATAATCACAGTCAGTTATCAATATACAAATCAGGACTTTAGATGAATTCTTGTAGATACAGATAACAGTATAAAGTATCTATACATTTGGCTTGGTATATTATTCAGTAGAACTGGGCTTGTGTAAAGCAAAACTTGTCTCAATTCAGTTGCTTTCTACGTGCTAATTTCAATGAGAGACCTTGGTTTCCTTGCAAAACTTTAAGGAAGATATTGCCTGACAAAAACCATGAATGCTGAAATCAGTTAGAATTTGCATAGACTGTCTGCATTTTCGGGGACTTTTTAACCAAAGATAAATAAGCTTGCGCATTACCCCCATATCCCACACCCAGCTCGTTCAAAGTGACACCCCAACCTGGTGCTCTTTGCTGGCCATAGCACAAAGTTTCATCAGTCCTTTAGTCAACAGAAATTTCATGATAACATAATCTTTAGCATGTTCATCGCAATCGTAGTGCTCTTCCTCAAGTGTTTTATTCTCAAAAGAATCAGAGTACAATATTAAGTCCTGATGATGCTCTGACTCATTTTACTGTGAAACAAAACTAAAATGTTCAACAACTTTCTGAGCTCTTTGTCCTCTGAGATTGCTCCATTGCTTTCTGAAAGACAGCTCACAGATTCTGAAGCTCCAGGTTTCATCACTCTCCAATCAAAATTCAAAATTAACTGAACCAGCAGCAAAAGAAGATCCAAACTACGCTTCACATTTGATAAATACTGATAAGGTTTCCGAAAGAGACTCAGGCGCAGGCCAGGGTTTTCCTTTAAGCGAAGGACAGTGCGTTTATTTACAGTGAACACATACACCAAGTGGCTATATACAACGTGCAGGGGAAACGGGTCCGGGTCGCCAGGGTCCGTGGGAAACAGGGTTGGGAGAAGGGTGTTCCACACTTTCTGTACAAAAACGTTCCCCCTCAATCACTCCTCTCCGCATCGGGTTCCAAAAATGATCTACACACAAAACATCTGGTTAGCAGGATAATTATAAGAAATTCTCAAGGTACAGGTCAGCAGAAACACAAGTCTAACTGACACTGATAGCTCAACGATCCAGCGAAGACTAGTGCAGACTCGCCATCTAAGTAGTGCAGTAATCAGCTGGGATCAGCGGCCGGTGTGGTGATGAGCAGGTGTGTGGGCCAGCAGCGGGAGCCCGCAGTGAGCATCGCCGTGGCGAGAGAGAGAGAGAGTGAGAGAGAGGGCGAGAGAGCAAACAAACCACAAACATATTGCCCCATAGAGGATTGACCAGCGGGGCACAGGGACCATGACAGTACCCCCCCCTCAACGGGAGCCCCCCGGCGACCCACCAGGCTTACCAGGATGAGACAGATGGAAGGCCCGCAGCATACGCTCGTCCAGGACAGCGGCCCGCGGAACCCAGGACCGCTCCTCAATGCCATAGCCCTCCCAGTCCACAAGGTACTGGAAGCCACGCCCGCGGCGGCGAGAGTCCATAATCCGCGTGATGGAATAGGCGGGCAAGCCGTCCACAAGCCGGGCGGGCGGAGGGGGCCTGGAAGGAGGGCACAGGTCGCGCAGGCGGAGACGTCCTTAGTCAGAGAAGGCCACCAGAAGCAGCGCTGGAGGAAGTTGATAGTGCGGTGGACCCCTGGGTGGCACGTAAAGCGGGCAGTGTGGGCCCATTGAAGTACTTGAGAACGTACTGATTGAGGGACGTAGAGCCGTTGGGCTGGCCCACCTCCCGGATCCGGTTCCGACACCTGAGCCTCCCGAATGGCTGCTTCGATCCCCCAGGAGATGGTGCCCACGACACAGGTGGCGGGGAGAACGGGAGCGGGCTCAGTGGCGTCCTCCGAGACTGAGAACTGACGGGACAGGGCGTCGGGTTTGACATTCTGGGAACCGGGTCTGTAAGAGATGGAGAAGTGGAAACGGGTGAAAAACAGGGCCCACCTGGCCTGTCGGGCGTTGAGCCTCTTAGCTGATTGCAGGTATGCCAGGTTCTTGTGGTCTGTCCAGACGAGGAAAGGCTGAGCCGTGCCTCCAACCAGTGCCGCCACTCCTCCAGGGCTAGTTTTATCGCCAGCAGTTCCCGATCCCCGACATCATAGTTTCTCTCTGCAGGGGACAGACGGCGGGAGAAGAAGGCACAAGGGTGGAGCTTACCGTCCTTTCGTTGCGACAGAACCGCTCCAACCCCTGAGTCGGACGCGTCGACCTCGACCACAAATGGCTGCATGAGGTCGGGTTGGATCAGGATGGGGGCTGAGGCGAATCGTTTCTTCAGTTCTTGGAAAGCTACCTGAGCTTCTTTGTTCAACTGAAAAGGAAGCTTGGGAGAGGTTAGCTGGGTCAGCGGCAAGGCAACTCGGCTGAAGTCCCGAATGAACCGCCGGTAAAAGTTGGCAAACCCAAGGAAACGTTGCAGTTGGTGCCTATTAGGAGGTTCCGGCCACTCAACAACGGCTTTTACCTTCACAGGGTCCGGGCGGAGATTTCCTTGGTCGATTATGTACCCCAGGAATGCGACGGTGGAGATGTGGAACTCACACTTTTCTCCTTTGACGAACAATCGGTTTTCGAGGAGTCGTTGCAGGACCTGTCTGACATGTGTCTCGTGCTCGGATTGGTTTCTGGAAAAGATCAGGATGTCATCTAGATAGACAAAAACAAAACGGTTAATGAAGTCTCTGAGCACGTCATTCACCAGGGCTTGGAACACCGCAGGGGCGTTAGTGAGACCAAAGGGCATGACAAGGTACTCGAAGTGGCCGAGGTGGGTGTTGAAGGCGGTCTTCCACTCATCGCCCTCACGGATGCGAACCAGATGGTATGCGTTTCGCAAATCCAGTTTGGTGAAAACAGTAGCCCCCTGGAGGAGCTCGAAGGCTGAACTGAGGAGCGGCAGAGGGTATTTATTTTTTACTGTGATGTTGTTTAATCCGCGATAGTCGATGCATGGCCGGAGGGTTTTATCCTTCTTTTCGACAAAGAAGAAGCCTGCCGCGACTGGAGAGGTGGAGGCCCGAATGAGGCCGGCAGCCAGGGATTCCGTGATGTACTTGTCCATAGCGTCTCGTTCTGGAAGTGAGATGCTATATAGCCGACTGGTGGGTAAAGGAGCTCCCGGGAGCAGTTCGATAGCACAGTCATAGGGCCTATGCGGAGGAAGTGACTGGGCGCGGGCCTTTTGAAACACCTCAGCTAGGTCGTGATAAACAGAGGGCACATTAGTTAAATCAGCTGATTTCAATTCCCCAGGAGAGGGCGTTTCAGTGCTTGGAGGCGAGGCAGCTTTAAGGCAGGTCATGTGGCAGTCCTCCCCCCACCCAGTGACACGCCCCTTTAGCCAATCTATGTGAGGGTTGTGCTGCTGTAGCCAAGGATGGCCGAGAACTAGTGGAGTGCGAGTTGCTTTAAACACCAAAAAACAGATTTCTTCAGAATGATTGCCAGAGAGGGTGAGCTCGACAGGCTCCGTCACCAGAGTGATGTCTGGAAGGCGTTGACCTGACAACGCCGTAACACGTAAGGCATGAGGCAGGGGTTCCAATAGTAACCCAAGTTGCCGGGCTAACTGACAGTCAATAAAGTTTTGTTCCGCCCCAGAGTCGATCAACACCGATAGGGAGCGGCTCTTAGAGTGAATGGAAAGCGTGGCCGGTAGTGTTAAACGGGGAGGAGCTTCTTCCTGGCTCAGCTCGCCCACCAGTACTCCTACCATCACTGGCGGGCGTGCCCTTTTGCCCGCGAAGGGCAGGTAGCCACAACATGTCCCCTGTGACCACAATAGAGGCACTCACCGGCCGTAATCCTGCGCTGACGCTCCGCCGCGGTGAGATGGGAGCCGCCCAGCTGCATGGGTTCCTCTCCATCCCCGCTCTCGTGAGTCCGGGAGGGGCCGGCATCCGCCATGGCGCCGGTGCCAGAGACTCCCCCAGCCTCATGGAAGTTGTAGTTCCGCTGCGACCGGCGAGCCGCTCATCCACCTTAATGCACAGGGACATTAGCTCATTAAAGGAGGCAGGGAGATCACGCATGATTAGCTCGTCCCTTAATTCTTCTCTGATATTGTTCAGCAACGTGCTCCGTAGCGCCTCCTGATTCCACCCTGCCTCTTCTGCCAGAATCCAGAAGTCGATAGCGTATTCAGACATGCTTCTCCTACCTTGTTTGAAGTTGAGGAGACGGAGAGCAGCGGCCTCTGCCCCGGTGCCTGGGTTAAACACATTCTTAAATTTGGAGAGAAAGTCAGCGTAGGTGATGACAGGATCAGAGTTTAACACAACCTGGGCCCACTTTAGTGCACGGCCCCTCAGAAGTTGAACTAAATAAGTGATCTTCGCCCCATCGTTGCTATGAAAACGCTGCAGCTCGCGAAACGTCAGAGACACCTGAGCCAAAAATCTGGC